CGTATGTGAATCCAATCACTGAGAGCAAAAAGCAACAGCAATTAGAAGTCTAGTTGAAAAGAAAATGTGGAACTTCATTTCATAGAAGGAAAAGGCTAGTTTCAGTTTCATAAAATAGCCAATGCCATAAATATTAAACGTTTTTAAATTAACAATAAATTTACTGTATCAATGACCAACTATGAAACTGAATGAAACTTAGAGTGCTTAATATATACAAGAAACCCAGCAGCTGCATCTTTTATGAATCTAGTTATGGCATAAACAACAACATTAAAAAGCATCTGATAAATCCCTTCAGAGATGTCTTCTCTCATGAGAGTCAGAGTCCTCTCTGAAGAAGCAAATGTTCCAGTGTCTCCATCTTCTGTTTAAGCAATGTTCTTCCTGCCTTGTGACCAGAATGGCGTTGCGGGTTTGCGCTTTAAGGCCTTCACACTCAACGGACTGTTCTTGCTCTGCAAATTCACACATTCCCAAAGATTAGGTTTAGTAGAAGATTCAAGCATTACCATCTAAATGTGTTGTTGAAAAAGTTGGAGAATCAAAAAACTTACCAATTTACAGGTTCCCTGATAAAGATCGCAAACCGGGTAATCGTGAGGGCAGCAACTATAGTTGTCATCACAGCAAGTGGCTGCTTCTAGTGGGCAACATCCCCAAGCAAAGCAATACTTTCCATACTCAAAGAGACAACAACAAGTGTTGCTCTCAGGACAAGTGTAGTAACTGTCACATTGGGTTGGAGGCTTGATTGGAGATGGAGGTGAAGGTCCCGGGTTTGGCGGGTTTGCGCCATTCTTGATCGGGTATGATGGTTCTACTGCAATTCCACATTTGCCTGATGAGGACTTGATGTTACGCTCCATCCTTATGTATCCACTCTCTCCCCAACTACCTCCCCATGAGTTTTTCACAATCCAGTAGTCTTTGCCGTTTTCAGTTCCGTATCCTACCGCCAAAACACCGTGGTCTAGTTGTGTTCCACAAGCTCCATCAAATATACCCTTCAAGAGGAAAATAACATATCACACACAAGAGAAATAAAGGTGAGTAACAATATGAACATTTTGAGACCGGAAATGTGAACAGCTACTCCATTCTCCTACAACCAAATATTAGTTGCGATTGTTTCAAAACGCCAATCTATGCGATAACATGTGAATAAAACTTCACATTTTCAAAATATAGTAAGTGTAAACGCAAACGCCAAACAGAGTTTCTCTTTACACTTAACATAGCGAAGATAAACAAACAATCGGGTGTAAATTCGTACCGAATCATAGAGCTGGAAGGCACGACCACCACCCTCAATGGCGACGCTTATGGGTTGGTGAGAGAGTGCTTTCTTCAAGGATTCCTCGCTGTAAGCGGGTACATCCTCATACGAATCGATTGTGACAACTTTAGCGTTTTTCTGAAACAAGAAACCCATAAGAATGGTGTTATAAGAATCATAAGTTGTTACAAAACCAAAAGAATGTAAATCAAAAAAAAGAAAAAAAGTACTAACTCTGTTCTGGTCACAACGGCCATCAACACCCTTATAAGGATAATCTTCCTCTGTATCGATTCCACCATTGTTGATAATGAACTCGAAGGCATAGTCCATGAGACCTCCGTTACAACCTTCATTGTATGAAGTGTCACAGTCGACCAACTCTTGTTCAGACAAGGATATTAGGTCTCCGGTTGCGATCTTGTTTATGCCTTCCACAGATCCAATGGCTGAGAACGCCCAACAACTCCCTTCATTACCAAAAGGACAAAGATTTAGGGGGTGGTATTCAATTGAAGAATTTAATTGATTTGGAGAGAATTGGACTTTCAAGAGAATTCTAGTGTTATTCAATTGATTAGAATCTTAATTCTTTTAAATTCTAGTGTTATTCAAATTTTCTGCAACTTTTATTATTTTAGATTTCAAAAGAATTTAATAGAATTCTAAGAGAAAAATGTGAAGAGCCAATTCCTACCATTTTTGCAAAGAATTTGATGGAAACCAATTAATTCTTCCACAATACATTAAAATCAATTTTTTCACAATACATTAGATTAGTTTTACTTCTTATAATCATCAGCATCAACCAACTTAAAGTGTTGTATTTAATCAGATTTAGATATAAGCCTAAACACAATACCATCACAAAAAATGACTATATAGGAATTATATACTAGCCACGTTTTTTTAAGGCATCTCAATCAATACCATGACCATATGATATATTTTCCAACAAAATGAACAAATTTTAAGATTTCTTGTTTGAATAAAACCTCATATGGGATTTGATTGAGATTCTGATCCACTGGATCTTAACCTTAAAACCAGTCTCTAATAAAGCAATAACCTCCACACCTGATGATTTGTTAAATTATTACAATTCCTTTCCATATATTATTTCAAGTTTTGTTTTTTCAACAAAAATCATAAGGGCAAATATGTCATTTCCCATAAAATCCAATACTTTTTGAAAGAATTAGCAGATATTAGTACTATACTAGAGTATTAAATAATTACTCCTTTCCAGAGTTTCAGATATTTTTTCACAGAGAGATTTGATCAAAAAATTCAGACAAATGTAAAAAAATCTTACCGCAGCTTCCCTGGTCTTTGACCTCGGCCACTGCACCTTCCTTCCTCCAGTCAACGCTCTCGGGTAGCGAGTCACCGACACGCGCCTCGTATCTCTTACTGGTTCTCTTCTCTTTCTTCATCATCTTAGCTCCAAGGTACTTGGATCTGAACTCTTCGTTGGTTAGATCAGCGAACCGAGTCAAACCCAACTTATAACTCAGGTTCTTTGAGTTATGTTCGTCGATGAAACGGAGATTGTCTTTAAAGATCTCGAACCGTCCATCTTTCTCCAAAAGAGAATTCTCCGACACTTTCTTCTTCCCGTGTTTCACAAGCCACGCCTCGTAGATCTTCGCTACTTCCGCGTCGCTCCGGCCACCGACGGCGAGACTGTGAGTCTCGTCGTAGGAGATGATTGACATATCGACCGCCGATGAAACGGCGATCATGGCTAGGAAGAGGATCGCCATAGATGGGTTAAGTAACCCCATTTTTTTGTTTGAGTGATAGGAAGGTTTCTGTTGGG